TAGAACTGATTAACATTAGTGTTGTGTCGAAACTGCCAAAGGAGACGGAAAAGTCGCTGTTTGAATGGAGCGACCACTCAATCAATAGCGAATTACCGCTGGCCTGCGGTTCGTCCGTTACGTTCGACCTGACACTCAACGCCATCGGAGACTTTGTGATCGAAACGAACGCAACCAAAAGCAATACTACGCGAACGGCGGCCGCCAACAGGTCGTCAGCGGCGGCCAGTCGTAGCCAAACGCCGTACAGTTCGCACCAGAATTCTCCCGCACACGCGTCGGCCAGCGCTGCCAAAAAGACTCAGTTATTAGGTTCGACTACTTTAGCGAATTTCATCTCTGAATTACAAACGAGTAATAAATCCAAACAAATAAGTGATAAACGAATTACAGAAAGCATTGATTTGTGTCCATCAAAGGTTTGGCATTTGAAATGTTTACTTATTTTTCACTATTTCTTTACTCATAATAATGTCATAATTTATATTTGTTGAGCAGATAGTAGAAGCCGTGCTTCAGTTTGAATACAGCGGAGGTCCGGGTCTCGCCTCCGGTTACTGTAGGCATAGTTCGTTGGCAATCACTATTGAGATCCAGCCCTCACTACTTATCACTCATTGGGATGTATTGCCAGCCGATCTGTGAGTAAAATAAGCTTAATGTAAATTGAGATGTAAATCAACAATACGTTTAATGGTTTGCTTTGTTAGGCCAACCAATTGTTTTCTAGTGTTGGACGCAATGAATGCCACCACACAGGAGATGGAACTCCGATACACATCCAGCAAAGAGATACTTATTGAAGCCAACGAGACGTGTCGTATACCTGTGCCGATAGAGCGCTGTCCGCTTGTGGACGACGAGGTCGACGGCGACGACAAACGGGACGATTCATCGCAGTCTTTATTGTCGCGTTGTCGACAGCATCTGATCAATCAATTGAGCCTAAATTGGATGCTCTCGTCGACGGGAATCAAAGGGACCGCATCTGTGGCTAACGTTCCCTATTCTGACCAAATGCTGAATTCAATCCTATTGTCGCCCATTCAATGGGGTTTGTGTTACATAACTATATTTTGTATTTCCTTTTGTTTCTTTTTTATATACATTTATTGCTTCATTTAAATCAAAGCATCGCTTTTTAATTGCAATTACAAACTATTTATGAATTTAATCAACGAATCTATAAAACAAATTACAGTAATTATTAAAAACAACATTTCTTGTTATTTGTTTATTGAGCCAATTGTTTATAGACTTGAATAGATTTAAGTAAAGTTATATTTTGTGAATGAAATTAATGATGAAATTGTATTTTAAACGAACAGAAGTGACTTTAAACGAACAAAACCTCCGAAACGGCAATGAGTTTTGCTTTAAAACCGGTCAATACATATCTGTGGGCATATCGTTGTATAACTGTTCGGCCGTATCGTTGAAGTCGTTGAATCTCTCCATTCATTACTATCAGGACTACCAAAACAGTCATCGCATCGGAAAAGAGCGTAATTATCGGCTCGATATGAAGAAAGCGTTGACTGGATTTGATAGAGTGATCATTAATGAGGTAAAGAGTTATTTCATTCATTATATGAGTATTTGATTTGTATGTAAACTAAAGCCGATTCCATTGTTTAGATCGAATCGATGAAGAGTTACTGCCATGAATGCGGTCTCACATTCTTCTACACCGGTATATATAAACTGGAGATTGAGTGCAACTCAATGACCGCAACCGATGAGTCCATTAAACATAAAGTGCTGACCAGTAGTGATATCGCGCAGAATAAGGCGGCGAAGAGTCCATCGGCGGTGACATCGCTGTGGAAATGTTCGCCTTCTATAGTGATTAGCATTGAATAGTGATTTGAAACGTTGTTTTTTCTATTACTGTATTATATAAACGACTCGTAAATATACGTAAAGAATATAAATCTATTTATTTGTGAATTTAATACTAAATGAATTGATTGCTGTTTTTAATGCCCGTTATGTTATGTATATTTTTAATTAACTTAAAAATATTTTTTACTTTAATTATTATATAATTATGTAATTATAATGTATTTAAATAAGACATCGAAATATATCGATAATGTTTTATTTCGAGATCTAATAATAATTAAGTAAACTTTGAATTATTTTATTCATAATATTTAACAAATAGACATTAAAATAATATTAATAAATAATAAAACATTAGTTTTAATGTGTGTATCGAGTAATTAAATTTCGTTAATTGATAT